CCTCTATAATAATAACGAATTAAGAGAAACTCCATTATAGTATGATCGCTTTTCTTTACAGTGTCTTCTTCAGCAGTAGCTATTCCTATTATCTGGATTTTCTCGGAGAAGTTGCCGATGAGTCGATGGCCTTCTCTCTCCACTTGGCACACCGTTCTTCCCATTGATATCTACAAAAAAAATAAAGGCATTTCAGGACACAACTCGAAAACAATACCCTTCACATCTAATCGAATGATAACTAAACCTAGAAATATCCTCGTCAAGGGTAGAGCTGCAAACGAGTCGAGCATTGACCTTACAAACAAGATTGATTTTTTTTTTTACATGCTCGAGCTCGATTTCTGACTCTCGAGATCGAATTGACAAAAAAAGACAACCGCTCGAGCTCGGGTTGAAACCGATTAAAATCAAAATGCTCGAACAATTGCTCGAGCTCGACTCAAATTTCAAGTAAAATTACTATTAAGTACATAGATAAAATATTGTAATATTAAAATATAAGGAGTATTTTAGCAATTCACTACATATATCGAGCCGCTCCAAAACCTATGCTCGAGATCGACTCGATGACATGCTCAAGCCGCAGCACGGCTCGAGCTCGAACCGAGCTTTGAATCGAGCATTCGTTTGCAGCCCTACTCAAAATTTGTCGAAAAAAACATCACTACTTGTTTGCAAATTCTGAAATAAAAAATAAAAAATAAAAAATAAAAAAAAAGGTGATAAAAACCTCAGTCCCTGCTCGATTTTGCCCAGAAAAACCCCTTCCTCGGATTACTAGACTGACGGTCCGTAGACTGCCTACTACTTGTCTTCGCACCAAACGAGAAGTGTCGTCTCAAAAACGGCTTCCTCGTCGAGCCCGAACCAATCTTGAGTCCCCTCCCATCGGGCCCACCACCACCACTGATGGACCGATCAAACACAATCTCCCCACTGAAATCACTGCTCACCACTCGTTTCCTCGACTTTCTCCGGGCCTTGGAATCCGTCTCGCCCCTCATCGCCTTCTCAGACAACATCATCTTCACAGCCCGTTTCTCCCCAAACGTACAAACCGGGCAGGTAGGGTCATATTTGTCAATCTCTAAAGTCATATACTCCAAGCACTCCGAATGGTACACGTGCCCGCACGTCAGAACCGAGACCACCGCCAGCTCGTTCACCGCATACATCAGCTTCTGCCCGAACGAGGACCCCTCTGTCAAAAGCCGAGTACAAATCCCACAAGTTTGAAAATCGAGAGATGGCGAGCTCGAGTGGGGCCTACTGAACCTCGTGAATCTGTCCCTGCTGGGGCCCGATGCCTCGCTGTCGAAGGACCACCTTTCACGAGCAGCGGGTATCGACCAGCTGTCGGAGGACCCACCGTTGGAGTCATTTCCCCAGGAAGGAGCTGCCTGGAGAGACGAGGGCGGCTCCTCGGATATCGAGAAGGAGGGCGATTTGGGTATTCTGCTGTGTTGGTGCCATCTTAAAGGGGTTGAGAACGAAGGGGATGCTGACTTGGACGAGAGGGAAGGGACCGAAGGAGAGAGCTTCAGAGATGGTGAGTAGGCAACTGATGGGGAATTGGTGGGCTCCTTTATCTGAACAAAAAATTGTACGTTAAAGGGATGCTCGGATACAATTTTTTCCAAAAATAATTTAATCATTTTTAACCAATCACGTTTTTTAACTCAAATCTAATTCAACTTTAACTCAACCCCACTATCCTTAATATTATCCATATAATTAAATAATACCACTCAATTATTCTTACACATTATCAATCCACTCACATAATTTTAATTAACCGTCACTTCATATCATCTCTCTCTTATTTTTACATCAAATCAACTTTAATTATTTTATTATAAATATTATTTTAGTATAAATTCAAAATCACACTAACAACTAACCATTTAGTTTTTTTTTTCAAAATTAACCATACCAAACAAAAAAATTGAAACAAAATCAAAACATTTTATAGCTTGGGTGAGGAACGTCGATTTTGTGTTTATAAACCAAAAGGATGGCATTCAAAAACCAACGAATGTATGGGTTTACATACCTCTGGAATATTCTGTGGAACAGCTTGATCTGCAAAAAGGAATTCTTAGATGGATGAGCATGGAGCACGAAACAGAATGGAAATTAATATTTCAGAACAGAGAGTTAACGAGTTTATGGTAGCATTGATAAAATGCATTAAGTAGTGGAACTTGACAAGTGGATTGAAAGTGTTTCTAATTAATGTGTTGAAGAGAAGAGACTGATGAATCTGATATAATAAAAGGGAATGTCTTGAACAATCCTTTTCCACAAACTGTTGACTATTCTAGATAAAGAAGACTGTCTTGATCCAAAACTTTCCACAAATAAAAATAAAAAATAAACTATTTTTCATGCCAAATAAATACTCTTCACAAAACGCAAGTGTAGCTGCTGCTTTTTGTGAAATAAAGGCTCAACACAAATGTCATGATTAAGGTATCATAAAAAGCTTGAAATGCTAGGAAACGAGCAATCAACTTCATCACATCAGTTTCCACAAATTTGACTATCTACTTTCTCATCCTGATTTAAGAACAGTGAATGTGTTAGCTATATCTTCTTTTTCCAGATACGGGCACTGATTTTCCTCTAGGCATCCATTTTCTGGTTCAATCGAAAACTTGATTTATCAAACAAGTAGAAGGCCGATGCTAGCATTGCTCAGAAACTGTATATTTAGCACTAGATTATAATGNAAAAAAAAAAAAACTTTCACGAGTGATTCAACTAATATTGTCCATTGTAAATGGAGCTGGAAGAGTCATTGTTGACAATTCTCCTGGCATAGTGCTAATAATGGACTAGATCAAAATGACTCAATTAAATTCTAGTGCTTCTTCTATTAGTGAAGTTTCTAGAAAAAAAAATATATCAAACGGTGCAATGCACCTTGGGTCGCTACAGAAACAGCCTCCTTGTATAATTACAAGGGTAAGGTCTGCGTACAACTGACTCCCCAGACCCCAACCTGTTGGGAATATACTGGGTATGTTGTTGTTGTTGTTGAGTGATTCAACTAATAAATCTACAACAATAACTTAAAAAGCAGATAAAATATGTTCCCCAGCCCATCACAATCACGGATAGAACATAATTTCTGAGATAAAGAATTAGAGCAGAATTATTTCTTCCCCAATTACAAAACTTTACAGTCAAAGAGCATTCAAAATAAAAAAGGGCAGGAACTCAAAGCTAAAAAGTGAATTACCAGAAGATTGCAGCCTTAAAGTTCCACTATTTCCTTCAGAAAGTGGAGACTTCCGCCAAGTATTTGACCTGGTGCCATCAAACGGGCTACCCTCCTCAGAAGCAAAGGCAGCTTCAACAGTTGCTCCAAATTTCGCTCCAATTCTACTGTTCCCACAAACTTCATCACCGGCCCAGTTTGAATGGGTCTCTTCCCCAGCTACTCGTCCACGGTTATCCCATCTGAAGCTCCAACTCGGTGAATGGTGCACATGCCTCTGCAAATTTTCACCAGGAGACCTGTTTGTGACAGTTTTACCATTAGCAGCAACACAACAAGCAGCCCCCATTCTTTCTTGTGCTCAGCCCCAAAGAAGTAAAAGCTGCTATTTGATGGTATTTCACATCAACAAACGCTGAAAACGAGTGCGATAGGCAGCAACATCACCTGAGATTCCTGCGATTGTGAAGCAAAAAATTATCAACCAAAAATCGAAACGTCAAAATACAGGCACTTCTTCATCCATACGGCACATACAAACCTTCGCAAACATAAAGTATAAATCTACATGGTACGATTTAAGAATATAAAGTTGAAACTAAGAGTCTCAACATGTTCAGTTCAATAGACATGCATGATTCATGTTAAACATTATTTGAGTATTTAACATATGAAACAGCATACATAAGTCGGAGGGCTCGCGGGATGTGGAGAAATGAAACCCGTCTCTATCATTCCAATCAATGTACATCAGGAAAAGCATAAATTTGAAACACTGAGAAAAAACATGTCCCCACAACAAACTTATTCCAAAAGCTATTAAATCGATGAAATGAAAAAAAGATCACCTCCAACTAAATCATTAACACTTACAGGTGATACATATTTGCTAATTATTCACACCTTAACTACAACTCTAACCAATTACATCCATAACCCAGATGCCAACCAAAACTATAAAACAAAGAACACATATCAAATTCTAAAATGAAGAAATACTTAGCTCAACAAGCTCCATATTGATAAATTATTAGACAAAGGGGAAAACTAACACTCAATTTCAAGTCCTATTTTTGGTTAAAAAAAAAGGGTACAAACCCTAAAAATGCGAGGAGTCCAAAACTGCGGATGTCAACAGAGATCCAAAACTCATGCCTAAACAATTGAGAGAAAATGTCAAACGACAAATTGCCATTAAATTCACCACCTCCACTCCATATCATTTCCAATCTTCAATTTTTCATTCACAAATAAAACGAAGAAAACTAAAAATCAATAAATCAACGAGCTTAACAAAAGAAAACAAAACGAAATTTCTTCTACATATCAAACGAAACGAGCCATACGTGATAGAATATAACAACACCCTTTCACCGCTCTACAAACCCTAGAGGAAAGAGGAGAGAGAAATAGACTGTGAAACTGTGAATGTGTGTGTTGAGAATCAGCTACTTATAAATTATTGACGTACATTTCGGTAAATAGTACTAAAAAAAATCGACAAGGAAATGGAGAGAAGACGATTTATTTGACGGCGTTAGTACTGCGCGGCACCGATACAAATGTCCACTGTCCAGTGTTCTTTCCAGATGGCGATGGATTATGGACCAATGGTTTCAAGTTTTCCTAGCGGCGTCAATCAGACCCCATTAAAGTTGTTAAAAAACAAAAGCTTGTGCGCTCGATTTGATTCGACTCGTTAAATGTTCGAGTTCGAGTCGACTCCTTTGATAAATGCGTCTATCTCGACTCGTTTCAAGTATGTGCAGTTAACAAGTCGGGCTCGACTCTATACGGTCTCAAAAAAAAAAAAAATATATATATATATATATATGATTTTTTATAATTCGAGCTCAATTCGCTAATATTAATAAATAAATTGTGCATAACTTGATTATTGACTCGTTTAGTCCAGTACTCAAGCTCAAGTTTGAGTACAGTACGCCAATACGGTATGTATTATGTTAATTAGTCAAATAAACTCTTAAGTCGTTTCATTAGAAAATGTCATACTTTAAAGTATTACATAAAAATAAGGATGACATTCGATAACATAACGTATTTTTATTTATATAATATGACAAATTGACCTGCATAATAATTGACTGTATCACGCAAAAATTTGTGTATAAGAATAGTGATATTAAATAATTAAACTAATTTGAAGTTTGCCTAGTATTTCCATTATATTTTGACGTAATTGAATTATTACTAGTACGTAACTCATGCGATGCACGGGATGTAAAATTTGGAAGAATAATATAATCTCACGTGATCATTAAAATACATAGGAACATTGTTGAATCATAGAAAGTTCGGTAACAATCATAAATTATTAAAAACCTCCTTGTACACAACATTATGAGTTTGATTATTTGGTAACTCTTCATTATCACAAACTAATATTTTCAACACTCTTCTATTATTTACACGCGAAGCAGCAACATATAGTTGGCCGTGACTAAAAACGGATTTCTTCAGGAAAAGACCAACGTGCGATAAAAAAAGAGTTTTTAAAAAAAAAGGTTTTAAAAATTGAAAAGTCAAGGCAATCAGTTCAAATTAATTAAAGGTCAAAGAATATCCGCTCCTTGAAATAAAGACTTGTGCTATCAGCAGTGTTCTAAAAGTCGCTAGGCGTCCGCTAGGCGCTCGACCAGTGCCGAGCGCCTAGTCGGGGCCTAGGCGGCGCCTAGTCGGGGCCCAAAAATCAATAGTAAATACCTTATTTTTTATTTATTTTAACTACCTACAAAATAAAATTATCTCAACATATAATAAATTCACACACCAAAGTCCAAATAACAATATTAATATATATTAAAGAAAACATGAGAACAAAATAATGTAATTAGTATTTAAAAAAATAAAAAAAAAATTAAAAAAAATTGAAAAATTGCCGCCGAGCCCGCCTAGGAGTGCCTAGGTCCGCCTACGCCCGCCTAGACGCCGCCTAACCGCCTGGCCGCCGAGCCCGCCAAGGCCGCCTAGGAGCGCCTAGGGCCGCCTAGGCCCGCCTAGGCGCCGCCTAGCCGCCTGGCCGATTTTTTCTGCCGATTTGTACAAATCGGAGGCGCCTGGGCACCGCCTAGCGCCTAGGCGCCGCCTAGGCGGCCGCCTAGGCCGATTTTTAGAACAGTGGCTATCAGTAACCAAATATCCGGTTATTGATATAGAGTGGTTACCAAAAAATAGAACGCGATAAGGACGCTTCATGGAAATATCAATAGAATAAGGTCATAACAGATCGCTATACATTTTGACGATAAAAGCTCATATGGAATGATTTAATTAGATGTGTGAAAAAGACATAATTAATGAGAAGTGTGAAAAAGACATAATTAATGAGAAGTGTGAAAAGGACAAAAATTTACCGGTTTTAGAAAATATTTAATGCAAATCCGACATTGACCATAATTTGACCTACTATTTTAGATAAATGTTAATTCTTGTTATATAAGTATAGATGTTGAATCTTATTTGAATATATATACTTATTGATTTCATTTGAAATATTTATGTATTGCTTGATTATAAAGTATCATGTTTCATATTTTATGGATACGTACGCTACTTTAAAATTCGAAGTCATAATTGAATTTAGGTTCACTCTATAACACAAATACACAATTCCTTTTAATTATATAATATTGTTGACGGTTTGACTTTTTATTCCCAACATATTATTTTGTAGGTTAATTCGATTCGTGACCAGATGTTTTTAATCGATATTAAATGATTAAGAAGGAATTGTTCGTGAGAGCCTAGCTAGGTTAGAATATAGTCATGAGATTGCGTGAGGTTGTGAAATTATCTACATTTACACCACCTCAAATAAAAATACTTCCAATATGCAATTACTCAGTGCAGATTTTTCAATTCGTCAATTTATTTTTAATTTTCCTATTGATAATATTCGTTCGTAATGTTAAGCATTTAATATTTTTCGAGATAACATCTCAGTTTTATTATTCTAAAATTATTCTTTTACAATATATTCTTAAACTGAAAATTGATCATATAAAAGTTAATTCGTCCAATTACATTTCAATAATCTAAAAATAAAGTGCTACCTAAATCTCATGACATCTCATGAATCAACAAACCTACTGCTAAATAGGTCTAACAACTATATAATTACACTTTTTCAATTAATATGAATTCCTTCAAATGAAATGTCACATTAAATATATAAATAAAAGTATGACTTTAATATAAATATATGTTTTTGTTATAAATATAATGTTTATAACTCTTGCCCTCCACTTAGTTATTATACTTTTGGGGAAATAAATGTATGTGGTAAAGATTATCACAAGTATATGTTAATTGATGCAATAAAGCATAAGTCTTGTGTGTAAAGAGAGAAAGAGAAATAACATTGCCCATTTATAGTCAATCTCGATTTTTCAAAAGTGATCCATTATAAAAAGTGTCTATGATAATTATGGAAAAATAATTAAATATGATTCCAAGCAAGCAAGAACTCGCTTTCTCTTGAAGTAACGTTTTGCTTAATTTCACCGAAATAATAAGCCCTTCTATTTCTTAATAGAAATATTTTACAGTCTATTTTTATGTCTTTATGTTTCAACTAATTCTTAATTTTTAGTGAGATACAAATCAAAGACATTAAGATATTTGAGAAAATATGTATATGGTCCATAGAAACACTTTTAGATATGTTTCCCATTGCATAATATTTCAAATTGGACAATTGATATACTCTCAAATACTTTCCTTATCATATATTAAACATGTAGTCCATAAATAATCTTGTTAAACTTTTATGTCAAATTATTACTTTATTTAGAAATTTGTATTTATTATTAGGCTATGTTTGGTAAAACTAGCTGATAGCTGATAAGTTAGCTTATAGCTTATCAGTAATTTTTTAACTTATAATTTATAGTTTATGACTTATAGCTGAAAAGCTAGCTTATATGATAAAAATGTTTGGTAAAATTAAATGATAAGCTAGCTGGAATAAAAAATTCAACTAGCTTATTTGAAAAGCTACCTAAAGAAGCTTATCAAATAAGCTCGAGTTTTTTAAAAAAGCTTGTCCTACCAAACGAGGTTTAGTTGAATACAGCGAGCTTAGAAGCTAACTAAAAAAGCTATAAGTTAGCTTATTTGTCTATCAAACATAACCTTAAAAATCAAAACTTTTTTAAAAAGGAATCTAAACTCCTTTAATTTCGATACAATTACGTACTATATTAAACAGACCTATAATTAGGATCAAATTAATATAAGTAAATTATAAATTAAATCATTATATGAAAATTATAAATTAAATAATATTATAAAGTAATCATTATATTTAATGAAAATTCATTTGAAGAATTTATAATATTTGCTGGGATCTTATGAGATGGTATGTGTATTTAAATATCAATAAATAAATATTATAATTTGTATTTAAATTTTAGTCACTATCCAACCTTTCATCAATTTTTCATGTAGACAATATATAATATTAATCATAATTATAATTCATCTTGAATTTGATAAAAGATTTCAACTAGAGAGACGAATGAAATCATGGACTAAGCGATGGCTTCCACTATATGGGTCAAAATCCAGAACAAAACTGGTATCCGTTTGACCCTTATTTGTATGGATGAGCCTTGTAGCTGATAAGAGTTCAATATTGGGCCGACCCATTAAAAACAGCCGAGCAAGTAAAAACTAAAAAGCAACACGAGCACAAGCTACTGGCCCAAGTTACTTGTTTAAAGACCTTTTGATTTTGAGTGAGGATAGACTCTTTGGCCCATCTTCAACATGCCTACCAACTGTTCGATAAAATGTATCAGAGAAAAACATAGGGAAATTTACGTAACTACCAGTAGTTAAAAATAAGATTACAAAAATACAATCCTCAGAAATCATTAGAGATGTTAAACGGGCTAGCCCTAGCGGTTTCGAGCTAGCCCTAGAGCTTCGGGCTAAACAGTCCGGGCCTAAAAAAACTCGAATTTAAACGGGCTACCAATAAAAGGACCTAACCCTAAACCTAACGGGCTTCGGGCTAAACGTGCTATACGGGCTATAATAATAATAATAATAATAATAATAATAATAAATTATAACACATAGTTAACGATTTTTTTCAACAGCTATTTAGTATTTACCACTATATATATACAACTACACTTCATATATGAATACACATTACAAACTCTTAAATAGCATATTGTTTCTTAACAGAAAAAATAAATATTCGAATTATTACTTATAACTACCATTTGACTAGTTATTTCGTATGCTTCGGGAATTTTTACTAATAAATAGTAATTCTTATTATATATATATATATATATATAGATAGATATGTGAAAAGAGGAAAAACCGTAAAAACATTGAACTGATCAACCAACCATCAGTTTTGCATTATTTTCAAACCACATTTATACAAATAAGTGAAAGATAACTGTTTCTCTTGCCAACAAAATATTAACCAATACAATTTCAATATTTTATGAACCCTACTACAAAACAACTACGTAAAGTATTCAAAAT